ATTGATCAAGCGTTTTAAGGAAGAACGGGAAGACCTCAAAGATGAGCCAAGAGAGGGAAGACCGCTCAGAAGGTTATGGCGATTCCTCAGGGATAATCTTGATAGATTTTCTTGAAGGATACAGTACGATCATGGGGGCTTATTATGAAGAAGTTTTAAGAAAATTGAAAACTGCATTGGCGAGAAAAAGGTCAGGAAATTTGCACCAAGGAATTTTTTTCCATCATGACAATGCACCTCCTCATTCTTTGAGGGTAGCAAGGGCTGTCCTATGAGAATTTCATTGGGAAGCCTTGTCCCATCCCCCCTACAGCCCTGATTTTGCCCCTTCAGACTTCTTTTTGTTCCCAGAACTCAAAGAACATTTAAAAGGAACATGATTTGAGTCCTTCGAGGATGCAAGAATTCTTCAGGGAAGGATTAGAGAGATGGAAACATCGCCTTCAGAAGTGTATAGACCTAGGTGGAGGATATGTCAAGAAACAATAGCTTCACATTTTGATGTTTTTGTTTAATAAAGGCTTCTATGATTTTCTAGCAATACTTCTTGATTTACCCTCATATTAGAAAGGCTAAAATTGAAAGACTGACCATAACAAGTGTTGGTGAGGATGTGGAGGAACTGGAACTCTCATATCCTGCTGGTGAGAATGTTAAATGATGCAACCAGTTTGGAAAATAGTTAGGCAGCTTCTTAATAAATTAAACATATACTTACCATATGATCCAGCCATCCTACTTCTAGGTATTTATCTAAGAAAAATGAAAGCATATGTCCATAAAAGACACATACATGTTCATAGCAGTTTTATTTGTAATAGCCAAAAAATGGGAGGGGAAAAAAAATGTTCAGATAAATAGATTATGGTACATCCACACAATGGAATCCTTAACTCAGCAATAAAAAAGTGTGATACGCACAACAACAGGGATGAATCTCCAAATAATTATACAATAGACACCATATGTAAAATTCTAGAAAATACAAACTAACCTATACTGATAGAAAGCAGATCAGTGGTTGCCAGGCAATGGTATAGGAGGTTTAGGGGATGGGGAGGGGCACAAGGAGCAAGGAAAATTTTAGGGGTGATGGATATGTTGATTATCTTATTTGTGATGATGGTTTCACAGGTGTATATGTATACCAAAACATATTGTATACTTTAATTATGTGCATTTTATAGAATGTTGTTAAAGATCATGAGGAGAAAAAGCATTTAGAGTAATATCAACTTTATCTTGTTATATCATTGAATATTGAATTCAGTGAATTCATTGAATATATATTTTTTAAACTTGTAGTCACTGTCTTTAATTTTTATTTGAAATATCCTGTTTACTCAGTTTTGTGCTAAGCATAACATGCCCTAACCCTAAGGAGTTCTGTCAGTATGTAGTGGAAGATAAAACATCTACAGCTCACTAATTTAGTCTCAGACTCAGTTCTGTGCAGGAAATACCTGTTTTATAGCATGGAGTCCCTTGGTGGTGTGAACACTTAACGAGCTCGACTGCTAACTGAAGGGTTGGAGATTCGAGTCCACCCAGAGGCACCACAGAAGAGAGGCCTGGCTATCTATTTCCAAAAACCAGCCATTGAAAACCCTGTGGAGCACAGTTCTACTCTGACTCACATGGGGGTACCATCAGTCAGAGTTGACTGATGGCAGTAGTTTTAGGGTTTTGTTTGTTTGTTTGTTTTTACTGATTTTAAAGTGTGTAGGAGCTTAAAAGTGAGGGATGAATTAGGCAGGAGGGAGAGCTAGAGAAGGAGTCAGGAGAAGGGATGACATTCAGGCTAGGTTTTGCAGGTTACATTGGAATTCTCCAGGATCCTTTTCATTATCAGAGATGGGGAGTGGGAGGCTTTTCCATCAGAACCCTCTGCATGAGCCAGAGTCCACAGTGTGTCTGTAGACTTCCATCTTTGAGGTTACACACAGCTCTTCCCTTATGCATGGCAGGTTAGCCCTGTTGCTGTGGACAAGAGTCCCCTTGAAAGAGGAAGCTGCTCTCATCTGCCCAAGCTCATCCCCCCTCAACCACAGGATTTCAAGCAGCATTTAGTTTCCCTTCCCGCCCCCAGCAATGCCTGGGAAACCTAGGGCAAGGATCTATCCTCTCCTAAGAAAATTCATCATCATCAGAGCTGGTTGCCTGAGATAAAACATTTTCCTTTTCTTTCTGTGCTTTAAGGGGTGGAGTCCCTCTGCTTCACCAGTGTGGATCCATCTCCTCTTGACAAATTTTCTCCCTTCCCCTGTAGTCTATGCCTCTCTCACCCCACACTGACCCTTGTGATGTGCCTTTTTGCCAGAGGATTCTCCTCGGGGACCAGAGTACGCCTCTCACGCAAGCCTCATTGGGGGTCATTATCGTTGAACAGCTTGTGTTGACTCTTACCTAACTTGGCTGACTTCATTACAGCCAGTTCACAACTTGACCTTAGCTATTTCTGTGGCCTTATTTATATGATAGGAATCCCTGGGTGGTGCAAATGGCTACATGCTTGGCTACTAACCGAAAATTTGATCGTTTGATTCCACCCAGAGGCACCTCAGAAGAAAGTCCTGGTGATCTACTTCTGAAACATTCAAAAGCGAAAATAACCCCATTGCCATCGAGTCGATTCTGACTCATAGTGACCCTATAGGACAAGGTAGAACTGCCTCATATGGTTTCCAAGGCTGTAAATCTATACAGAAGCAGACTGCCACATCATTCGTCCACAGAGCAGCTGGTGGGTTTAAACTGCTGACCTTTTGGTTAGCAGCCAAGCACTTAGCCACTGTACCACCAGGGCTCCTCTCTGAAAGATCACAGCCACTGAAAACCCTGTGGAATGTAGTTCTATTCTGAAACACATGGGGTCACCTTGAGTTGAATTGACTCAATGGCAACTGGTTGGTTTTTATTTATATGAAACCATATAGGTCATCTCTATTTATGTTATGAATTTTGGTACCACACCTTTTTTAAAACTAAAAAAACTAACAGCATTTACTTTCCAAAAGACTAACTCACTCATTTTCATTAAAAAGAAAATACGAGTAGCAAAAAATGTTTTATGCCAGAAATAATTTCAACCATACTAACAGCGACTATAACCCAGAAAGCTAAGGAATAGGGGATGAAAAATTTGTTAGATTTCTGCTCTGTTCCAGGCACTGTACTACTGTTTTATGAATGTTATCTGGTATATCTTCACTCACACACCTTTAGGAAGCAGTTTTGATCCTCATTTTAAAGATGAAAGCATCAAAGCTTGGAGAACTTAGGCTCTGCATGCCCTCTCTCCACAGCAGGGAACTGACTGGAAGGGCAGAGATTTACATGCAGGTTGATTTAACTTCAGAGTCTTTGGGTGGTCCAAATTGTTAACACCCTCAGCTGCTAACCAAAAGGTTGGAAGTTTGAGTCCACCCCCAGGTACCTTGGAAGAAAGACCTGGTGATCTACTTCCAAAAAATCAGCCACTGAGAACTCTATGGAGCACAGTTCTACTCTGACACACGTGGGGTCACCATGAGTCAGAGTCGACTCCGTGGTAACTGGTTTTGATTTGACTTCAAATCTTGGCACCAGGCCATACTGTTTCCCCAGCTAGAGTCAACTTATAATTAAATAATAGCTACTTCTCTACCTCCTCTATATAGCCAAACATCACTCAGATTATATGTGCAAGGGAAAAAATTAGAAGCTGATCAAGAAGCATTATGGAGTCAAGACTAACGTGCTTTTGCAGGGTTACCCCAGGTTTTCACTAGTTGCATTGCATCTGGATCTTGTGATGGGGAGTGGTTCCCTTTAGTTCACTTGCAGAAGAAATTGCCTCTAAAAGTCTGTATAAAACATGTTCAGGATATTAAATAGGCAATAGACAAGTGGTATCTTGGGTGAAGGGTGAGACAGTACACAATACAGGGGAAACTAACACAACCTGTACAAGGAAAGGTC